ACCCATAAACTGCCCTGACATGGAGTAGCAGTAGTAGTAGTGTGGAAGGGAGTGTTCAGGGCAGGGTTGGGTGCTCCGGGTCTTCGTGCGTCTTTGGGGCAACGAGAGTTGAAAGGATTCGGGGGGGTTAACGGTTTGGGAGTGAAGGGCCCAGGTGGTGCACAGAAATGCCCTCACATACTAAACCCTAAACCCTAAACCCTAAACCCTAAACCCTAAACCCTAAACCCTAAACCCTAAACCCTAAACCCTAAACCCAGGCTTCACCGGGGTTCATAGGGTTTATAGGGTTTAGGGACAATGCTTCACCACGTTTCGCCGTTTTTGTTGGAGGGGTTAACGGGTAAAGGGGGTTTTAGGGTTTAGGGTTTTTGGGGACCCCCTGAGCCTTCTTCGGCCCATGCTCGGCGCCTCAGCGATGGCCAGGGGAGCGTTGGGCTCGGGGAGGTGTGTCTTTGCTCTACTTGTAGGGTTTAGGGTTTAGGGTTTAGGGTTTAGGGTTTAGGGTTTAGGGTTTAGGGAACAGCCTCCATGGTTTCGGCCTTTCAGTACAGAACGCTGCTGCTGCTGCTACTCCAGGGATCCAGGGGAATACTTTTTCAGGGTTTATAAGCTTCCTGCCTTCAAAGGGCGGTTCAGATTCGTGGGTTTCTGGCCTCCGTTCTGTTTGCCGGTTGACCACGAATCGGTCTGACAGTAATCACCCACAGAAATGGCAGGTGTGAGGTTTACAAGGAAAGTGCTGACACACCAGTGAAGCTCTAAACCCCCTGCAGCCCTAAACCCTGAAATTCCCGCAAAGCCCCTACATCCCCCCAACAAATCCCTAAGAGCCTAAATCTCAAAATGCCCTCTAAACCGCTAAAACCTGAAAACCCATACAGCCCTAGAGCCCTCAACCCCTAAAACGCCCTTAAGAACCCAAAATTCCTTTTTGTAGGTTACCCAAGAATCCTATCAGGGGTTTTGCAGCAAGACTCGAACCCTAAACCCCAAACCCCACACCCCGAACCCCAAACCACAAACCCGAATTAATCCTACCAAAAAAATGGGTTCTCGGTTCTTAAGGTACTCATGCGCACCGGAGGCGCCATGGCCCTTGGTCTCCGCAGTGCTCGCGCGTGTGGATGCCCCGGTCTGGGCCACAGGGTCTCCCTTGAGAACCCTAAACCCTAAACCTAAACCCTACACCCTAAACCCTATATAAACCCTATATAAACCCTATATAAACCCTATATAAACCCTAAACCCTGGACCCTAAACCCTAGACCCTAAACCCTAAACCCTAAACCCCTAAACTCCTAACCCCCTACACCTAAACCCTACACCCGAACTCCAAGCCTAGACCACAAAAGGGCGTACAGGGCTTAGAGGTTAGGATGCTCCCCCTTATGTGAACAGTCCTTGGTAGGGATTAGATGATTAGAGAATCCCTATGAAGGACTGCTTTTATAAGGGGGGAACATCCCAACTTAGACCCTAAACCTAAAGCCCTACACCCTAATACAAACCCCAAACCCCAAACCCCAAACCCCAAACCCCAAACCCCAAACCCCAAACCCCAAACCCTAAACCCTAAACCCTAAACCCTGAACCCTAAGGGTTCATGGGGTTTAGAGGGCTTACAGGGTTTGGAGTCGGGGTTTGTAGGGTACGTAGGGGGCTTGACTTGTGCAGCTCAAGGGCCTCCTAAGCCTAACCCGCAGCCTGATCCAGGGTTCAGGGTTGAGGGTTTTTGGTCCCTAAACCTCAAACCCTAAACCCTAAACCCTAAACCCTAAACCCTAAACCCTAAAACCCTAAACCCTAAACCCTAAACCCTGAACCCTTATGGGGCCCTTTACAATGAATTTCGAGGTGTGGGAGGTCAAGAGCCTTAAGTCCTTGACTCAGGCGACTTGGATGGCTTCCAGGAGATGTTCAAGGGTCAGGTCAAGGAACCCCCCTTTTTGCAGCTGACAAGGAAACAAACTCTTCTCCAGCCTGCTGAGGTTTAAGGCTTAGGGTATTGTAGTTCAGATGGGCAAAAACCTTGGAAACTGCGCCCAAGCTAGTCTGCAAAGCAGTCCGCGTTGAGCTGGCAGACGCGCTCTGAGCAAGACATCCTACACCCTAACGCCCCCCCCCCCCGCCCCTTGTTTAGGGTTTAGGGTTTAAAGTTTAGGGTTTAGGGTTTATAGGGGCTTCCCCCCCAAAAAAAAAACAGAACACCCAACCACTCCATTCAAAAGACTCTTCCTTGGCCGAACCATTTTGCTCCACCTCTCGCGCTTGGCGCAGTAGGCACTCGATGCCTTGAGACATCTCTGCCAACACCGGCAGCAGACAGCGCCCCTGCTCTGAGCTGTCCTTGCTCCAAACATTCTTATACAACCCTTTACAACCCCAAACCCTAAACCCCTAAACCCCTAAACCCCTAAACCCCTAAACCCCTAAACCCCTAAACCCTAAACAGCCCTACACACATAAAACCCACGAAAGCTTGAAACAACCCAGCGCCAGCCAACATTGATTCTGAACTCAGGTGGCTGCGGGGGAAAGCTTGGACATTGGAGCCCAACAGACAAAGTTGCTGAACAGCGAAGTCTCAAATGCCCCAACTGCCACCGACAAAGAGACTTGGGATATGTTGACCTTCGCCGACTTGATGTCCTAGGCCAGAACCAGTTCAGGGTTAGGGTTTAGGGTTTAGGGTTTAGGGTTTAGGGTTTAGGGTTTAGGGTTTTGGGTTTTAGGGTTTAGGGTTTAGGGTGCAGGGGACCGAAACCACAGGAAGCCACAACCTAAAGGCACCATGAGCATCAACATCGAGGCATCGAGCGAACAGAGAAACCAGCTACCAGAGAATCGCCTGATAGTTGTTGCAAATTCCTTCATGCGGAAACGGGCGTTCTTCGCGGAAAGTGCAAAGTCTTTCGCGGAAACTTTTGCGGAGATTTTCTCGGGCTTTCCTTGTTTGTATCGTGTCATCATGCTAGGTATGCAACACTTTGTAACTACGCGTCAGAGTCAAGGTACAGGGTTCTGGAATGAGTAGCACAGGTGAACCTTCTCGCGGCCATCAATGGAGCATCACGAACTCACCAACAAGGTTGCGAACTTGAAGCCCCAAGTCATCATCCATAGAAGCTCTAATGTGAACCCACAAAATCCTCTACCTTAAGCCCTGCACCCCTAAACTGCAGGCCCTAGATTGCGTGGGCGCACTTCTGTCACGCACTATGCCAATCAAAGTTGACGAAGGGATGGGCCCCTGACTTTCATGAAAACTTTCTCCAAACTTTCAACTTTCGCGGGACTGTCACGCGGAGAATCCATGAACAAAATCTACACGAACACCTGGATCCTTAGAATTTGGTTGCGCCTTCATGCGTACTGGCCCTGTTTCAACTGGATGCCTGCTGGCCAGGACAGGCAGGTCTCCACCAATCCATGCTTTAATCAACGGGGCCTAAAGCATAGGCTCATGCTGCGCAACTGGCCCTTTCGTGGACATGCGACTGCATCGGGCAAGAAACGTTTCAACAGCACACTATAAATTACGATAAGTCTGCACCCTATGTAAACCCCAAACCCTACTAAACCTTAAACCCACACCCTCAACCCCAAACCCGCTGGCGGTAGCAGTAGTCGTATAACAATATAACAATATATATGCATATATATATATATATATATATATAGATATAGATATAAATATAGATATAAATATAGATATAGATATAGTAATATATATATATATATATACATATATATATATATGTATATATATACACATAGTAATAGAGGTAGCCATGAATGAAGAGTGATAGTCATCACAGGTGATGCTGATGCAAGCACAGTCTCGGAGAGCAACTGCCGGAGAACGGGCCAGCCGCCGCCCCCCTCGGAGGCGCAGACGGCCTGGGCTCCGAAGTTGGAAGGTTTAGGGTTTAGGGTTTAGGGTTTAGGGTTTAGGGTTTAGGGTTTAGGGTTTAGGGTTTAGGGTTTAGGGTTTAGGGTTTAGGGCTTAGGGTTTAGGGTTTAGGCTCCCCAGGAGGACTCCGTGGAGGTTTGAAGGTTCATGGGCGCTGAAAAAAGTGGTGTTATAAGTAATTAGGGTAACTATACTTATTTAGAACTGGTTTATGACCTTATTTCGTGTACTTATAACCCTGCTTCTAACTACCCATGACCTCCTAATAATCCCCCTCCCATGGCTTGCAACCGCACACCCCAAAACGGCCTGGAAGGCAGACAATGCCCCCAAGCAACCACGTGGAGCCCGATGTCGTCCACCAGTACACGCGCCAGGGACATGGCAGCAAGTAGGCAAATTACCAGCTGCCTTTTCCGATGTGGGGGTTTACGATCTTAGGTTGGGTACCTTATTGGGGTCCCTATGTTATAAGGGGATCCTACTCTGTGTACTTTTTGGGGATCTATATTGGGGGTTCCCCGATTTTCGTAAACCCCCATGTAGAAGATCGGAGTTTTGGGGATTTTGGGGGAGGGCTCTCAGGGAGGCATCGGCTGTCGAGGTTCTAACCTCGGTGCGGGCTACCCACGGGTTATTTTCTACGAGTTTTGTGTGAACCTTGAGGACCAAAAGAAGCTAAATTGGGTACCCCAAACTACTATTATTAATCCTTATTCGGGTATATGAATATGAACCATAAACCCTCTGAGAGTTCATTTGGTTAGGGTTTAGGGTTTAGGGTTTGTTTAGGGTTTAGGGTTTAGGTTTTAGGGTCTAGGGTTTAGGGTTCATGTAATGTGGTCCCCAAGGAAGGCGCAGGTTTGCTGAACCAGGACGTGGTGCCAGCGCCCTCCCTGGTGGCAGGCACTCATGGCTGCGTTGTAGCTGACCTGGGGTGAAGCACTTGGAGGTTTACGGCCACTCAGACCCCAAGAATAAACTGCGCCTAGAAGCCCCCCTAAGTCCTCTAAGTAGGCTATAAGTAGACATCAGAATTGGGGCAATAAGTGCCCAGGAACCTCCAAGTAGGAGGGAATGAGCGCTACAGAGCATCTTGCGTTGAGGTGCAGGCCGGCGTGATTTTAAGAATCCCTTCCTAGAATTGGAACACTATTTTGGGGTTCGGGATCTCTGCCACTCCACAACCCAGAACTCGAAAGAAAGCCACCCCTCCTACACATGAGCGCCTCGTCTGCTTCGAAGGCCGGCGCGTCGTGAAGCAGCCGAAGCCCCACGAGCCACTGCGCAGCTTTCTCACCTCGAACACTTGAGACTCTGGCTTCCCCAACACCCTGCACCCAACTCCCCAAACCTCCTTGGGTTCTACCTTGGACCCCTATAAAGGTTGTACCCTTGGGCTTGGGGACCCCCTTCTCTTTAAAAGAATAGGAGGGCCATGTTCGGAGTAGATTCAGGGACACCTCAAGGGTTACAACCTTTGGGGAACCAGTCTTAACCCCTTGAAAACCTCTCAGCCCGCCTTGGGTTTAGGGTTTAGGGTTTAGGGTTGAGGGTTTAGGGTTTAGGGTTTAGGGTTTAGGGCTTAGGGTTTAGGGGGCCATGAGATCGTGGGCCCATCTTGGTCTTAAGTGAGGGTCGCGCGCCCTCAACCCCAAACTACCAACTAGAAGCCTACTTTATCTCCAAAACCCAAAACCCCAAACTGCAAACCCTAAACCCTAAACCCTAAGCCCTTAAGCCCTTAAGCCCTTAAACCCTAAACCCTAAACCCTAAACCCTAAACCCTAAACCCTAAACCCTAAACCCTAAACCCTAAACCGCAGCGCTCAAAACTTCCCGAGCCGAGGCACAGGAGCTTAGGCCTGCATTGAAGCCTTGGTAGCCCAGTAACCATATTACAAGAAGGGCACCCTTTTTGGGGGGGTTTAGGGTTTAGGGTTTAGGGTTTAGGGTTTAGGGTTTAGGGTTTAGGGTTTAGGGTTTAGGGTTTAGGGTTTAGGGTTTCGGGTTTCGGGTTTAGGGTTTAGGGTTTAGGGTTTAGGGTCCAGAACCCCAAAAAAAAGGGGGTAAAGGGCACCACTGAGCTACCAAGAAGCACACGACGTCTGGGAGGGCATGGCGACTCGGGAGGGCCCAGAGAAGCTCCAGGGCCAGCCTTTCGCGGGCCCCCATGGGTCTGAAAGGATGTTGACTAGGCCCTAAACCCTAAACCCTAAACCCTAAACCCTAAACCCTAAACCCTAAACCCTAAACCCTAAACCCTAAACCCTAAACCCTAAACCCTAAACCCTGTAAACCCTAAACCCCAAACCCTAAACCCTAAACCCTCTAGAAGCCAAGCAGCTGCCACTGGCTTCCCTTCTCACAAGCGCTCACGGCAGCAGCGCAGCACACGGCGTCCACCTGGATGGCAGACTCCTCGCGCGCTGCGGTTTGGGGTTTAGGAGGGTTTAGGGTTTAGGGTTGAGGGTTGAGGGTTTAGGGTTTAGGGTTTAGGGTTTAGGGCTGCTGAGTGTCTTGAAAGCGGTGGAAGGGGCTTTCGAGGGACGCGTTCAACGAAGTCTGGGTAGCAAGATTATTGGAGATAAGCTCCAAGTCGGCGCGGATATTCATATCCTGGCACTTAGCATCCGAAAACTGCGAGCCTCTCGTCTTGTAGAGTCCCGAGATGACGGGGCTCTTGATGGGCTTCGCAACCCGCCGGATGTTTCGGGTGATTCACAAGGAACCAAGGAACCAACAAGACAAGGACAAGCTCGCACCTCCAGTCGTGACAAGAGCTGGAGGCCGACTTCCCACCGCCCAGCTCGCTCGCACGTGCTCAGAGCCGTGCTGAAGCTGACCGCGTCAGCGGCAACCTCCGAGGCTGGGGTCTGGTAGGTACGTGGCCCTAGGCCAGGGGGTTACAAGGGGCTTTAGTATTCTATAGGGTCTTAAGGGGTTCTGAAGGGATTCTGAGAATCGCAGTTCCTGGAAACCTCCCCCTCCCCCCCCCCCTCCCCCCCCAAACCCCCAAAAGCCTGCGCTGTGTCCATGGCGGAGAGTAGGAAGATCGCGGCCTGCCACTGCCGTCCCTTGTGACACGCGTCGAGGGCAGCATTGAAACCTGGGGTTTCAGGGTTTGGGGTGGAGGAAACCTGCTCTTACGGGGTCTGGGGCTATACCCACCCCACAGAGACGCAACCAAACTCATTCATCCCACTCGAACAGACCGGGAGAACTTGTAAGCACTACCCGGCGGCCCAGCAACTGATCACGTTCGCCTGGACTCTGGCCTGGGGCATCTCCGCGAGAAGACGCAGCCCTCGTTGCCATTGCGCCGCCTTTGCACAAGTGCTGATGGCAGCGTTGAATCCGACGCGGAGACCAGCTGGGCTGGCAGATAGCACGTCCTGCAGCAAGTGAAGTCCCATCTGCCAGCGCGCCACTTCTTCGCATGCGCTGATGGCGGTGTTGACTGTAACCTCATTTGGTCGAATTCCTTCTGCTACGCTGCTGGCCAGCAAGAAGTGGGCTGACTGCCAGGCGGTGGCCTTCTGACACGCACCGACACAAGAACTCAGGGTCACCGTGTTCGGCGCCTCTGCCGCAGCGAGCTGGTGAAAAAGTCGCAGGGCTCTTTCCCACTTCCTGGCCTGGCAAACGGAGTTGTTCACATGACTCACATGCTGCCTCTGCGGATTCTGGTGTATAAAACTATTACTAAACAACGCAGAGAAGAATGTTGCATCTCAAGGTCAAGCATCACATGCACTGATGCCCGCACCACAGCTGACCTGGTTGGGCACAGCCCTTGACGTGGGCATGGCCGCAAGCAGCTGCAACGCCGATGCCCACCTTGTGCCCTTCTCACAGGCAGTGATGGTCGAGTTGAAGAGGACCTCATGAGATCACACCAACCTTCCCCCCGACAGCTGGTAAGGACCGTTCCCGCCGCCACCCTGCTCAACTGAACTCTTAGGTTGGAGGCATGATGAGACATGGAAACTGCCGAAACTATATACCCCAAACCTACATCACATAGGCTCGACAAGACGCGAGGTCAGTCGAAAGGTCCGGAGGCTCGGCAAACAGCTGCAGCGCGCCATTCCACTGCGCTGCCCGTCCACAGGCACTTGTGGCAGTGCCAACGGCAACAAGGTTCGGTGCCAGACCTCGAAGCGGACTGTTGTTGGGATGTTCATATAGTCACAACGCCCGCCCCCATCCTCCCCACCTGTAGAGCCCATCTCCGAGAGCAGCTGCACCACGGGCCGCCACCGCCCACCTCCAAGAGCTCAAATCTCTCTCTCTCTCTCTCTATAATAGGGTCTCGGGTTTAGGGTTTAGGGTTTAATTCTCTTTTGCCCCATTCTGCACCATTCTTAGGGGTACTGTTTGAAATGATCCCTGCTATTCTGTAGTGGGCGTAACTACTGAGAAGACTAACAACAATGACCCAGAAGTCAATAAGAAGATGAATCTGGGGTGCTTGCCTACAGCCGTGCAGAGGAAGCCAAGAATTACTGTAGCATAGCAGGTGCGACATTGGGCAATTCCCGAAGAACCTAAACCCTAAAACCTAAACCACTGAACCCCCTACTCTCTCAAGAGCCTTCGCGACAGGCATTCAACGCCCCGCCAAAGCTGATGGTATCCGGTGGAGCTCGGACCCTCACCTGAATTTACGTGACTGAACCCGAAACCCTAAACCCTGAACCCGGCTGGTTCTTAGTAGCGCATGAGGAGGTACCCGATATCTCCCTACCCTGTAAGGGATTGAATGGTTAACTCATTCCCTCCTTCCCTCCTCCGAACCAGCCAGCTGAAATTGCGTGGTTTGTTCAGAGAAAAAGTCCTGGAGAGTCTTGCAACGATCAGGGTTTCCAGATTGGAGTGGTTGTGGTACCGGTGCAGCGGTCCTACCGTCTGAGGGTCGAAGGTCCTAGGGCTACGGGTCTTGGGCTGAAGATTTCGCAAAACTCATGAGCATCGTAAACGGTCTGCAAGCCAGGTGGCTTGGGAGTCTCGGGTCTAGTAGTCTCGGGGTCGAGGATCGTTCGGATTCTAAGCTGTCACGGCCCCACAACCCCAAACCCGATACCCTAAACCCGAACCCCTCTTCAAAGCTCCACTGTCTGAAGAGAAAGGGTTTAGGGTTCATAGGGTTGAGGGTTTAGGGTTTCGGGTTGGGGTTCCGGAGGATTTTACAAGGGAGCGAGACGGAATTGCATTACAGTGTGGCATGGAGTATCAAGGCCGGTAACCCCAGCTTCGTGTGAACTCTAGGTCTTTGGAGCTGCCAAATCTCGCGCACATTCACACATATATCATATGTAAGTATGTATTCATTATCATTGTATACATATATATATATACATATGCATGCATATTCTATTGTAGCATACTTCATGTCATGTTAAATAAATAAATAGATGATATATACATATATGTGTATACACATACATGTTTATACACTTATGCTATGCTATGGGTTATATGACGATAATAAGGTCTGATAAGAAACATTAAACTGAAGGCCCTCCGATCCCCAAGCTTTTCGAGGGTTAGGCTCGAGGCTTAACTGTTGCCCGGCTGCCATGCTCGAGAAGAGCCACAGGGCCGTCTGCCACTGCCCAGCCTTACCAGCGGCTGCGGCGGTTGCGTTGAAGCGTACCGTGTCGGGAAGCACCTGGGACCCACTTGGAAGCAGGGATCTAGTATGGGGTCGGAAAAATTGCTAGTAGTATTCCCTTATGGTCCCTTGAGAAATACTTGAAAATAATCCCCAAAATCCTATTCCAAATAATTCAGGCCCCTATGTTAGTCTAGAAGCTTTGATGGCAGCGGAGGTGTGCTAGGGCTTTAAGCGCAGCAACATATTGATGGGCATGTCTGCCCTGCTTTTAAGGAGTAGGGTCCTACATTCATTCGTCACTGCAGGGACCGGGCAGAAACAGCACCCTGCAGGCAAACGAACCCGGACGTCTAGAGCTGCACAGCTCACGAAATCGCATCCCGAATCCGAGATCGATGAGCTAAACCCTAAACCCTAAACCCTAAACCCCAAAGCAGGCCCTGCTAGAGTCAAATGTAGGGCCCTGGGGCCCCCACCTGGCAGGAGGATAGATCGCACAGCCGCTTGATGGACTCCCTCCTTGGCGACATTTAGGGTTTAGGGTTTACGGGGTGTGTGATCTCTGGGGACGAAATGAACCCTAAACGAGCTTAGGGTTCATATAACTGAATGAGGGTACATTACTATATACTACTATACATTAGCATATACGTGCGGGAAAGAGTTTGCTCGACTGGGCCAAGCTCATCAATCACACAACCGAGCGTCCATAGGTCATCCGTCCTCGGCCGCTTGGCAGGAGCTCTTCCCGACTCTGTCACCGGGTTGTCCAAGCGGCCAGTTGCAGCCAGCAGCGAGCTTGCATACATGCGTGCAAGTGAGGGTTGTCTGGAGGTCCGAGGTTCAATCACGGGGATGAGGCGCAACATCTGTGTGTCGGGTGTCAATCGGAGCTGGATGACTTCCAAGCTGAGAATGCTTTGGAATGAGGTTTCTCTGTCGAAGCAAACATTTAGACGCTCACCCCTGCTGAGCCGCTTTTAGCCTCAACGCCTGTCTGAGCAAGTGAAGCAGTGAGGAGCCACGGCCTAATTTCCTGCAAAACTATGCTTACAGATACACCTTTATGCTAAAGCCCAAAAGCCTAAGCCCCACACACTGAAACCAGCTCCCGTCCCAGAAACCCTCTCGGAGCATCAACGCCACGAGATCTTCTATGCAACTCTTCTGGTTTCACGCTCCAGCTACCGCGGGGGCAGTGGAGGTCAGGACCCTAAACCCTAAACCCTAAACCCGTAACCTTCTTGGGTCTTCCATCCAAGATGAATCAAGACTCATAAGGAGGCGATAGACATAACCCTAAACCCTAAACCCTAAACCCTAAACCCCTAAACCCCCCCCCCTAAACTCGGCCTCTGAGAAGGCTGTTGGGATCGTCAAGCTGCCTCCTGCGACTTTGGGTTTCGTACACTACCGTTTGCTTGAGAACCTCCAAAAAACTCAAAACTAATAATCTCTATAGTTACCCTTATAAGGAAGAGTATATTGTTTTTGGGGGTCTGAAGCAATTGGTAGTACAGGTATGGGCCCCAAGGCTTCCCACAAGCAGGGCTGTTACCCCCCCAGCTAGAGATTCTTTTTCTAAATATCTGAATATAAATATATTCAGATTGGGGGGGTGCACGCGGGGTGCCACCCCCCCCCCCCCCCCCCCCCACAAAAAAAAATCGGAAATGCCCAAATGTGTCCCCAGCAAGCGGAGGTTGAGTTGTTCGTTGCAAAAGGCAGCTGTAGGGGCTCAAACCCATGTTGCGCTTCAGCGCTCATCCGGGGATCGGAGATTGAACAAGACCTGCTTGCCTTTGCGCCCGCCCATGCTGATGCCGGGCCTGGTACTAAAAAGCCAAAGATGTCTGAGGAGAACTAAGCTTTGACAGCAGTCTGCAAAGCCCGGCCATCCATCCCCGGATCAAAGCACTGACTGACCTTTACACTGGTCCTGCGGCTACTGCCCTGAAACCGGCAGTAGAGCAAGAGCAGGGACACCAAAAGTCTCCAGCAAACCTCTCCCCCCGCCCCAAACTGCATGAAATCTGCAGGTACGTGGCGCCAAGTCATACTCAGGTCCACTGCAGTACTACCCTTCGTCAAACCCAACCCAGTTTTGCCCACAGCTGCCGGAATGCCAAAGGGCCACCAAACTTCCAAACATCCAACCTGGTGTCCCAATCGAAACCCAGCGCCGAAATCGTAAGGCCTCAAAATCCCTACACCCCAAGCCCTAAACCCTAAACCCTAAACCCTAAACCCTGAACACCCCAAAACCCGAAACCCAAGCAGCCTGTAGACTGCTTGGGCGTCCGGGGGTTGGCGTGGACCTCGATGGGCCAAAGACGCAGATCCGTGGCGTTTTGGACTGCGTGCTGAATAGGGTTTAGTTTAGTGGTTTAGGGCTTGCCGATCGGGTATAGAACATCCACCCCAGTTTCAAATCTTCATTGGAGTATGTTGGAGTGCTCAGCGCGCCGCTGCTTCCACAGGACTGCGAAGGAACCCGTCTCAAAGGTTGCTTAGTTTCCCTTGCGCTACGAAATGCCATGAGTGATTTTATTTGTGAGGGTCGGTGGAAGTGGGGCACGAAGAGAACCACTGAGCGAGTAAGCTGGGCAGTGTTATGCGCAGATTTCACTGCTAAGTATGCCTTTTTTCCCGGGTTCTTCAATCTATTTCTGTCTGTTCTTGCCCGGCACCATGTTTCAGTTGATGTCATGAGTGGAATGCGACACGCCAAGGAGCTTGGGCTTCGGTCCGCTAGGTGGTATTTCTGTCGCCCGGCAGTGCTCTTTCCCAATGCACATAACGAGTTGGTGTCTTGGTATCTCCCGACAGTTGCATTCCCTTCAAAGTAAAGTTCGAACAAAGCCCTTTGCATCTGTCACTCCATCATGGGAGGAACTTTGTGCTTCCCAAGCAGAACAGATTTGAAGACGACCTAATTCGGTAGTTCGGCTCTACGCCTCTTGGCAAGATTCCAAAGGCACGCGAGGCCAATGGATAGAGTGGGTAAAAAGTTTTGTGGTTTAGTGGAGGACTTGTGCAATGTAAGTGTATGCTTCACGGTACACTTTTCAGCGGCAACTCGGCGAATCCAAGAAATTCGGTTCATACCCTCCAAAAAATATCTAGGTTTGGGGTTCTCAAGGAACCGTGACAAGTCAGCTATAGTGCGTGTTCTGAGTGCTGGTGAACATCGCTTCTGGAAGAGGTTGCGAAAGCGAAAGGGTTTTATGAATTAGTTTGTCCATAGGCATGTTGCTTTGATACGCGGCACGGAGAGGACGACTCTTGCATGTAGGTCTGTTTCTGCGGATGATTTTGCTTTCAACGCGCTCTCACAGTGTGCTGAGGGCTCTCAACAGTTTGTGGCAGCTTCCTTTCCCTTTATTCCCAGCAGCCGAAGGGTTGGGTTTACCCTAAACCCTAAACCCTAAACCCTAAACCCTAAACCCTAAACCCTAAACCCTATCTCTAGAGGCAGGAGGTCATTTGCCACGCCGTAAGCCGGAACGGAACGGAACTTGATCATCCTTGGCTTGCTGGCTGTTGGGTTTGCACAGCTGGGTTAATAGCCCCAAAACATGCACCCGAGTGCGCTGGAGAGTTTCAAAGCAGCTCAAATGCTCCAGAACCCAAGCCATGATAACAAAGATTGCGAGCAACGCTGCTCGAAATCTTTCAAAGTCCACAAACTGAGTTCTTAAACAAGCCCTGATGAATGCACTGAAGCACATGATGTCATGCATTAGGGGCATCCCCCGTGGGCTGACCCGACGCCCTAAACCCAAATTTCAGGGGCTCTCCAAGGTCCCGCGCCACCACGGTGGGGTCGCGGCGGGACCTGTTGCCTGGCACCAGAAGCCCAAGCACAAAGCCACACGTGTATACTAAACGTGTATATTACGCATGCATACATCGGTATAAATCACTGCTCCAACAACTGATTATGAGATGCAAAAGACGATGTGGCCAAGTAGGTATCTTCTTGCGGGGGCTCATCTTCGAATGGTAAACCCTAAACCCTAAACCCTAAACCCAAAACCCAAAACCCAAAACCCAAAACCCTAAACCCTAAACCCTAAACCCTAACCTAAACCCTAAACCCTTTTCTTAAAGAAACCCAGGAACAACTGCCATCTGCATGGAATCGCAAGCCTCCAACGTCGCTGGCATCCTCGGCAGCAGGGCAAAGCAACTCCAGAAGGGCATCTTTTGTAGGGTTTAGGGTTTAGGGTTTAGGGTTTAGGGTTTAGGGTTTAGGGTTTAGGGCTTAGGCTTTAGGGTCTAGGCTTTAGGGATTAGGGTTTGGGGCCTTTGCTCAGAAAAGAAAGAAACGAGCTCTGAAAGTTTCACGGGAATTGGACGTAGACTTGACAACTCGATGCTTGCTTGCTTGGACAGGATAACTTGCTGGGATGGCGTGCTTCTATGAGTTCGCATAAACCCTAAACCCTAAACCCTAAACCCTCAACCCTAAACCCTGAATCCTAAACCCTAAACCCTAAACCCTGAATCCTAAACCCTAAACCCTAAAAGCCTAAAACCCTAAGAGCCACCTCGCCACTTGGGAGCTTAGGCTCGGGGGGTTGATGAAGCATGGCTGTGAACAAGACCTCATGGCCCTAAAAAAAAACATATTAAAAAAAAAACACATGTAACACTTGAGATGAGCTGATCAAGCCCTCTCGGGCGCAGGCACTGTCGCTCATAGGGCCTTGGGGGCCCGTCAGGCTGCTACAGGTGTTTACGGCTTTTGGGAGTTTAGGGCTTCTCGGGCTCATGCCGCCAGGGCGTTCAGATGGATGCTTATACCGATGCTGTGAAAGGTCGCAGGCTCCATCATCTCTTCTGACACTGCTTGCTGAAAGGCCCCGAAACGTCCTACCTCAAGCAAGAGCCGGCAACGTGGTGCCCTGTAAGAGTGCGAGGGTTGCTTCGAGCTTAGGTTTTGGACATCTTTGCATTGGAGAGGTTTGAGAGTTGGCGTCTTCCCGAGCAGCCAGGATCTTGGGAACCTTGGCTAGGACCCCCCCCCCCACCCTAAACCCTGAGCCCTAAGCCCTAAACCCTAAACCCTTAACCCTAAACCCTAAACCCCCTTCACCCCCTGAAGCTCCAAACACGCCAGCATACACCGAGAAACACAAGACCACCAGCCCTACCTCCAAACATCTCATCTTGGCCAGGATGGGCTACTAGGCCCTATCATCCCCATAAAAAAAACCCTATTAAGTGCCTTTTTAAGGGCGCTTCCAGGGTATAATATTAATCCCCACAATCAACCCTAGTAAGCGCCTCTTTAAGGGGTTAGAAGGGTATAATGGCCCGTCCTGGGGGGGGAATTGCGGCTTGAGCTGGGAAACCCCAGCAGCCTTCCCAAAACAGAAACCCTAAACCCTAAACCCTAAACCCTAAACCCCCACGTCCGGAGGCCCCAGCGGGGTGAGATTCGTGCCGACGGCTGCGGCTGCTTCGCAGGCTCCTGATTTCGCATCGTGAGCCACACATACACTTGGAGTTCAACGTCCTTCAGAAGTTCTTGCCTCGGCCCCGACATCGACACTGGGGCTGACAAAGAACCCCTAAACCCTAAACCCTAAACCCTAAACCCTAAACCCTAAACCCTAAACCCTAAACCCTAAACCCTAAACCCTAAACCCTAAACCCTAAACCCTAAACCCTAAACCCTAAGCCCAGCTCGGAGGCTCGACTTCCCTCGCGGCTTGCTGGGTCTGAGGGCCTTTTGCTTTGGGAGCGTTCCCCGTCACTAGGGTTTAGGGTTTAGGGTTTATAGGGTTTAGGGTTTAGGGTTTAGGATTTAGGGTTTAGGGTTTAGGGTTTAGGGTTTAGGGTTTAGGGTTTAGGGTTTAGGGTTTAGGGTTTAGGGTTTAGGGTAGCTCGAAGGCTTGGGGCTTTGTTTGGCTCATGCGCGATCCTCAGCACTGCCTCTGCTGCAAGCTTTTTTATGTTAAGTCAAAGCTTAATTACTGGAAATTCAGGGGGTTTAGGGCTATAAGGGCTATGAATTAACCACGTTTTTGGGCTTTAGGATCTCAGCTCCGAGATTCTTGCAGTACCACATGGCGCATTCGGAGCTATTTCTGCTAAGCTACATTCCCGTCCTCTTGCTTCACCCACACGGGCCGCGGCCGCCGTGGGTCTAAAGAGCTGGCCGATCGCTTCGGCTTCTCCTCCGGCTGGAACTTGGACTCTCCGATGTCTCATTGCGTGCCGGGGCTTACGAGCAACATGCCCTATTTTTCCCCGGAGAACACCTGTATTCTCACACGGCTTCAGCTGACAGGTTGTACACAAGGATCTCGGGTTTGGGCAATGGGTTCAGTTTCGCAAATGAAGCTTTTAAAAACAAAAATAAAACATCTTTGCGAAGTGTCCCGATGCGGCGAAACATCCACGGAGGCTTCCGCTCTACCCTGAACAACCCCTCGGACACCTCCAGCTTCGCCGGCACAACCGGCACCTTTCGTCGGCCTCAGTATGGCTGCAGCTGTGTCTCTCGCTCTTTCTTGTAAATCTTTAATTCTGTCTTTTTTCTGTCTTTCTTTGTTTCTTTCTTTCTTAGGGGTCTCTCTCTCTCTCTCCCGCACGCATGGAGAGCCGCCCCCAAGGGCGCGTGATGTCCGCGTCCTGTTTGTGGTGGGTTCCCCCTGGTTTTCAGGGGCGTCCCACTCAATTGCCACTTCCTTGGCAGAAAAAAAAATGTCCCACTTTGGGGGTTTGGGCAGGAGGCAAAAAAATGCACTGCGGTGGTGTGGACTGGAATGCCGCACCGCATTGTACCTCCTCCACCCAGCATTGTTACAGAAAGGTGACAGCTCCGCGCCCCCCAACAAACGAAACCCTCAACCTCAACGCAAAAACACACCCGGGACCCACGAGGGGAGGGAGAGAAGGTGGTTGGTTTTTCCACGAAGCCTGTCAAAGAGCCCCCTGCAGAGTGGCAGTGGGGCGGCGTGTTACAGGAGTTGAGTTTCTACGGAGATTAAATCAAATTGTGCCCTTCAAAACGTGCCCATCAGTACTCCTCGTAATTAATCGATTAATTAATTATTCATTGATTATCAATTACTGGTTAATTAATTATTATTAAAAAATTAATTAATTATTCAGCAATTAATGACTAATTATTACTTGATTACAATTATTAATTAACGCTCTCTCCCGCTCTCCCGCTCTCCCGCTCTCCCGCTCTCCTGCTCTCTCGCTCTCTCGCTCTCTCACTCTCCGTGTCCGTGTCTGTGCGACAAGTGTGTCAACTGTGTCTTGCCAGATCGCTGCACGGAGTCTTCGCCAAGTAAATGGAAACTTGGCCTGGTGAGGGGTGTTAGGCGTGGCTTCGCCGAAGACGGCGAAAAACGATTGCACAACAAGCTAGGTCGGAGATTGGCGCTCTTTGCTGGTGTGAGTTTCTTGTTCATAGGGTTGTAGAGTCTAGATGTCGGGGGCAGGCCGTTCAAGTCTACTTGTTTTTGTCTCCAGGCGCTGCGTGCTTTACTGTTCGTTGCAGCTACGCACACCGGGAGCTTACATTTTGTGTACTATTATCTTACCTTATCGAAATATTATACATATATACAGAGTACGTATGTAGACACAAGTGCGCAATGCAGTTACAATCCTGTGCCAAGTTTCCTGGCAATCTCCCTCGAGCAGCTGGACTTAAACAACACAGAGAGACGCTCGGCCTCTTTCCCTAACCAAAGGCCAAAGCAGCTCAATAGCATGAAGCTCCCTGAGGCACAGGCAGCGTCTCCGCACCCTTGGCGTTCTTCGGACTTTTGCTTTTGGGGGTTACAAGGGCCTTCGGCGAAGGGGTCCTAGAGTCGACTCATTCGCCGTTTAGGGTTTAGGGTTTCGGGTTTAGGGTTCAGGGTTTAGGGTTTGGGGTTTAGGGTTTGGGGTTTAGGGTTTAGGGTTTACGGTTCCTGGCTCGCTTTGGAATCCACAGCCAACAGCTTTGGAAAGTCAACATGTTGGTTCGACCTTGCTCATGGGAGTCTCAAAAACGGTTAAGCTTGTCGCACTTGAGGATCTGTGTAGCCTCTCTGGTGGCTAACGGTCTGTTGGCTTTATTCCACTCTGTTTGAACAGTTTATTCAGGTTGAACTTCTTCTCAGTCATGTAGACTATGAAGGTCGTCAGACAGAAAACAAGGATCACCCCAGCCTTCCCCCGGAGAGCTTTAGTGAACTTGAAGGGCTGGAGGTCTACACAGTTCAGTGAAAGGAATGAGCAATGGTTCAGGGGTCCCAACAAACCGCCCAAAACCCTAAACCCTAAACCCTAAACCCTAAACCCGAAACCCTAAACCCTAAACCCAGACCCCAAACCCGAAACCCTAAACCCCCAAACCCTAAACCCTAAAGCCTTGGCTCCTCTAGCCATCCTTGCGGCTGGGAGACAGGAGCATGCAGAAGGCGAGGCAGATGCCTGGGGGCCGGCACAGGGTCCCAGAGGCCACCGGAAGGTTCATAACTCATGGGTACTTAGAAGTGGTGCTACGTTTTTAGTGTTTGGGGTTTAGGGTTTAGGGTTTAGGGTTTAGGGTTTAGGGTTTAGGGTTTAGGGTTTAGGGTTTAATTACAATAAGGTTGTAACCATAGTTACCCTAGTAATAACCCTACTTAGAAGTACCCATGAACCACCAAGTACCTGTGCCTTGCCCGGGATCTTCAGCTTGAATCCCCTTGAAACACTAGTTGAAACCCGAGAAGCCCGACAACCAAGAAGCCGAAGCCCCGTCGATCCCAAGGCAAAGCTACCCCCGATGAGCACCCATCTTTATGAAAATACTCAGCCCGAACAAAACAAAAGGCAACACCACATTCCTTGTGCGCCCGAGCCATAAGACACCAGAAAACAGCTGCACTCCAAAGCCTAAAATTTGAACCCCACATGCACACCATGGCTATAGCCTCCTCTTTCCAACCTTTCCTTACTGTTGGTTTGCAGGGAATGAGGGAATATAGGCCCCAGAGATATATATATATATATACCCTTTGAGGGATTATATAGGGTACCTCATTCCCCCATTCGCTGCCAACCAACTCAAAGTTTAGGGCGTATAGGGTCTGTAGGGTTTGGGGTTTAGGAAACCTTACAGATCTCTTAGGGCCCATACAGGGGGTACCCTCATTCCCCCATTCGCTGCTGACCAACAGCAAGTCTCGCCAGGCCCCCGAGCACCCGCAGGCCCCACCGACGATGACCGCGGCGAGCGCGTCGGTGCCGAAGCCCGCGGCGGCATCTGCAGGGCTTGTGGACATTCGTGTTCCCTTCGAATTCCGCGTTTTTTGGCTTAAAGGTATCTGGGGGGCCGCCGCGCAAAAACAAAGGTGACCAGCCCCTTGAGGCACTTGTGGGGTACTTGGGATGTCCCGGGTCTCAGCCCAACCTTTTCAACAATGATCCTTGTGTCTCCAAAGGTTTTCAACTACCGGTCTCGACGCCTCCACATTTCAAAATGTCTCAACACGTTTCGGCTTCTTCAGCAAGCTTCGGGCCCTTGGGGCGGGAGGTTTTGTACTTGGGTTCACGGGGTTTCAGGCCCAGGCAGGCTACCGTGGCCCAAGGCCCAGCCATACCATCAAATCAAATGAATGTAAATCATGTTTTCATCAGTGCTGAGGATACTTGCATCAATTTTGACCGCTTGTGGACATGTTGATAACATTCTGCACGTGACCACATTTGACTCCGCGCACTTGAATTTGCTGCTTCGGATCTTGTTAAATATGCCAGCATATACTTTTCGTGATCTGTCAAAACCCCAAAACCCTAAACCCTAAACTATACTCTGTTCAAAAAATGCTACCCCGTCAAGAACCATCATGGACCCTAAGCCGGAAACGAGCCCAGCGCCTACTGAACCTGGAACCCTGTCAAAAATTGTAATTTCAGCTGCTTCCTAGGAGTTATCATGCCCAAAAAAACCTCGCAACACATTAGAATTTCAATTGCTTCTTAGGAAGTATCGCACTGAAGAGTTAAAACTTTACTCCCAAATCCCAAAGTATTAGTACTCCCTGGCACCTTGCAGGTCTACCGCCAACTCATCCTCGGGCGTCCACCTCGAAAACCGAGAAAAACTCCGAGGGCTCTTCGTGGCTTGGGGGGGTTTACTGGGGTAGGCTTGGGGGCCCAAGAAAAAGTTCATTTTTCTTCATTTGTAATAAGGATTGTTATAGGAAACGAAGGGTACTTCAAAGAACAAGTTATGTTCAAAACTATCCCGGTTTAGGGTGGAGGCTGCGGGTGGGTGAGGCTCGGTCTTGGGGCAAGGGGAGCACAATGAACGGGGCTGCCACCTGCCTGGAAGCACATCTTTCTAGGGTCTTGGGGCCTGCGTCTTACGGGGCCTGCACTTGTAGCACTTTTCGGAGAGCTTTCCACCAAACAAGCCCCAGAAGAAAACCCACATACTCACCCAGGGTGATACTCGTCCGTAAGGCTCGCGGCAACTACTTCCGCTGGCAAGTTCCGTGTTGGGGGTTTAAGGGACACCATCGTAGATGCATGGCATGTGGAACTTAAGAACCTTACTCTTTCGACGGAAAACCACAACGCCGAGGGTGCGACTTGCCACTGCTCTTGAACATCTTGTCGCCACCTGCACGTAAGCCCTAAACCCTAAACCCTAAATCCTAAACCCTATAAACCCTGAACCCTACATTCAGACAAGAAGACATACATACATACATACATACATACATACATACATACATACATACATACATACATACATACATACATACATACATACATACATATATATATATATACATATACACATACGCACTCACGTACATGCGTACACCATGTAGACCACAAGAACATACATATAAAGTATCCGCATAAATAAACAAATACAGATAGATATATATATGTACGTGTGAGATGGCTTGAGAATAAAGAACGAGTGGTGAGGATAGCTTTTTGCAATTTCGGGAGCCAAAACTACGAACGGAGGGCTGCAAAACGGCGGGTGCCCTGGCCAAGCAACATCGTTTCGTATCCGGTGCTGCCGAATTAAGTCAACACTGAAACGCCATTATCAATATACAAAATCTAGCAGTGCAACAAGAATATAACAATATTGTAACAGAATGAAAAATGTAAGGGGTCTGGCCTGTGCGGCTTGAAGACACTCTTCACTCAAGGGATCAAGGCACAGTCCATAGCCAGAACCCTCAAAAAAACCCTAAACCCGGAAGATCCTTAACCCCAACAGGGTGAAAGCCTGTAGTTTAGGGTTCAGGGCCTTTTAGGGTTTACGGGGTAGTGCCAGTGCCCTCAAGCCAGCACTCACCAGGCCTGTCTGATCTGCATTCGCGGCGGCCTCAGCAAGCTTCCACAAGGCTTCCTCCGGCCCTCAAGCCAGGGGCCGGTACTAGGGTTCAGGGTTTAGGGTTTAGGGTTTAGGGTTCAGGGTTTAGGGTTTAGGGTTTAGGGCATGTGCAGAGCTGCTTGGTTGCGACTCCACCTCCCGCCGCACTAGCTGCCCTTTGCGGCACACTCATTGTGGTTTACAGTGTGCTCTCTCTCTCTCTCTCTCTCTCTCTAAAAAACCAGAATTTTCTTCAATTTCATATGCATATATATATATATGAGTCTTCATATACATGTATACAAATGTGTGTGTGTGTGTGTGTGTCTCTCTCTATATATATATATACATTACATATATATATATATATATGCAACATACAGAAAGAAGTCCTTGTCACCTGATCATAAAAAGTGTAAGGAATTTCAAGCATCGCGAGATGCTGCGCCTGGCTACCAGCACTTGGTGGCCCCAAGGCTTCCCCGCTGTTAGGCCAGAGCGGAATCCGGTGAAGGTTGTCGGGATCTAGGGTTTCGGGTTCACGGTTTAGGGTTCAGGGAACCCAGAAACCCTTCCAAAGAAGCATGCGCCAGCCTGTTTGGGCGACCTAATCTGGGGGGCCCCGGCCTCGACAAAGACGGTTCCCTGGTCGATGAACCGCACGGCCTGGCACTGTGGAGGTGGAAAGTGCTCTCCAACATCAGACTTCTGCTCAGCACCTCCAGTAGCTTTGGGCCTCGATACCTCAAAAAAAAACCTGACCCTGCACATGGCGAAGATGCATTCGAGCACTTCACCTCAGGGCCCTTTACAGACGACTCTGTCTCTTTCTCTGGCTTTCCCCGTGGTCGCCATGGCTTTGGGGACTGAAGCTTCGGATCTCCGCGCAAAGGGCATGTGCTTGCCCGATGGGCAGGAGGCAACTCGTTCTCGGGTCTGAACCCCAATGCTCTGAATGCGCCATTGTCTGACCGAACTGAACCCCATCAGACCATGAACACTCTGCGCAGTCCCACGCGTGGTGAGGCCAGGGAATTGTCCCTAAACCCTAAACCCTAAACCCTAAAGCCTAAACCCTAAACCCTAAACCCTCAGACAGCCGGGGTGTTCAGCACGGTGGTCGTGAGCAGAAGACCGCCGACCCGAAGGGCCTCATGGCCCAAACCTGGGAACGCCTCATGCAAGAAAACAAAGCTCAATTGGCTTCTGCTTCTGAAACGCAAGGCCCTAAACCCTAAACCCTATCCTAAACCCTAAACCCTAAACCCTAAACCCTATAGTGGCACCGTAGAGAGCTACCCCAGGGCCTCCTTCTCGCCGCGCTGCTCTGCATAGAAGGCTGGCCTGGCTGAGATGCCAAGAGACGCCTCTGTTGTCCGACAGGGTTTAGGGTCTAGAGTCTAGGGTTTAGGATTTAGGATTTAGGGTTTAGAAAAAAACCTCATGAGAAGGGGTCTCCATCTAAAAAATATCTGCCGCCGCCCTCAGAAAGGTCCCGGGTTCAGCAGCTGAGGGTTCTGAAGGGCTCAGGAATCAGGATGTTGGCGTTTGCCGGGGGGAGTGGTCCTAGCTTGGTTCAGAGGCTCAGCAGGCCCGTGCAGACCCAGTGGAGTCGTCATGCCGATCGAGTGTTCGTGTCGCGCGGAAGCTGTCTGGGGCTCCTGCGTTCTGCCGTAGACGTCCTCCACGGCCAGCGACAGTCATGTGCACTTGCTGGCTGGAGATCGCGGTTGAGGCAACAAGGCCCCTAAACCCTAAACGAACCAAGTAGGTTTCTACGGCAGAGTCTCAATGTTTCGAGCCCTTCAGGCCCTTCAAAGGGCTTCAACTCTCACGTCCCCGAAGCCCTTCGAAGGCTTGTCTGGGGGGATCTCCTTGATCTCTGCTGCGGCCCCTTCCAGGACCAGCAAGCGCAGACCTCGGGAAGAAAGCTCCGCGGGTGGCCCTAAACTGGCTAGGGCTTCGGAGGATTTTTGTGACGGGAGCGGGGCATGGGCCGTGGTGTTGCCTTCAGAAAGGCGGGAGGGAGAGGGGGAGAGACAGGGAGAGAGAGGAATGGGTGTGAAGGGCGCGATGGTGCACAAAAACGCTGAAGTCATGTGAAGTAGGGTATATATTTCTTGTACCCCCAAAAGGACACCAGGTATATACACTCACCAATTTGAAAAAGGAACCTTCTGTACACGCACCAAAAGCAGTAATATAAACCCTGCTTCATGTGAGACTGTAATTTCTTCAGTAGAGCGAGCCTTAACATTTCTTCACAGACAGCGCTCGTACTGAACGGCGAAATAGGAAACCGCAAAAGTCCGGGCTCCGGGGCAACAAGAAGCAGCAAAATCCTAAATCCTAAACCCTAAACCCCTCAATCTCCAACACCCTAACCCCTCAACCCCTAAACGCCCAAACCCTAAACCCTAAACCCTAAACCCTAAACCCTAAACCCTAAACCCTAAACCCTAAACCCTAAACCCTAAACCCTAAACCCTAACCCTAAACCCTAAAATCCTGGGGCGCCGGGCACCGGGAGCTGCCAGCCATGGCGGCCAGGTGCAAGGCGGTCTGCCCGTGCCTGTGACCAGCTCTACAATCTGTTGATGTTTGTTGGCCCTAAACCCTAAACCCTAAACCCTCAACCCTCAACCCTAAACCCTAAACCCTAAACCCTAAACCCCCCAACCCTAAACCCATAACTAGTCATGGTTGGGACAGTATTAAAAACTTGAAGTTATATTCCTTATTGGGCTTAAGCACCCTTAAAAATGCAAAAATGCTACCCAACTATGACAAAGATAATTCTAAACCCTAGACCCAAAACCCGGGTACCGGGACCCTTCGAGTGCTTGCGCCCCGACACCCGAAATCACGAACCACGGGGCGGGACTTGAGCGCACCAACTTTCTCCAAGCAGTTTAGGGTTTAGGGTTTAGGGTTTAGGGTTGAGGGTTGAGGGTTGAGGGTTGAGGGTTTAGGGTTTAGGGTTTAGGGTTTAGGGTCGAGAGCTCAGGGGTGCAGAAGGCCTTAAGCAACTCGGCAATCCCGACGCCCAACGCTCAAAACACAGACCCCAAACCCTGTACAGCTATAAAGCCCCCAAACTTGGCTGCACTTAGGAGGGTAGTAAAAAAACTAAACTTTTAGCTGCCTTGTTAAGAAACCCAATAAACCCCAAAAAGCTAAAGATCTAAAGTTACAGTAAAGCACCACAAAGAAACCCCCACACCCCCGCCAGACCCGAATCCACAAGTTCCCAGATCAACCTAAGGGGGGGGCCCCGTCCCAGAGAAATCCCAACGCCGCCCCCAAGACTATCAGACCCAGGAAGCTCCCAGAATGCCTTCGTTGGGCTTCATGGGGTTTAGGTTGGGATGTGTCCCCCTTATACTAACTCCTTAGTAGGGATGATAGTACCCCCTATGAAAATCCCAACTAAGGACTGTCAGTATAAGGGGGAACATCCCAGGGATTGGGGTTTTGAAAAAACACTAGACACTTCTGCCCCACTTGGCCTGTTCTGTGCATTCAGAACTCCTGGACTCGACTGCTCCAACCTCGGCGCCGAAGCGTGCGAACCCTTCCTTTGCAGTGACTGGAGGGCTTACAGGACCTATAGCTGCCGCTGCCACTGCCGCTGCCGCTGCTGCTGCCGTTGTTGTCGTTGTTGTTGTACTGCAGGCTGCAGGTGTGTAGCAAAGCGGGTTCTGCGTGGTTACACCTTGTGTCCAGTGCACATGCACTACTTTTCATGACATTCCGTAGGATCTCGCGCAGTCTCCACTGCAGGCGAGGATGTGCCAAATGGCGGCACGGCAGAACCCGAAACTTAAATCATAACAGTCATAAAACCAACTCTTCTCGCCGCGAGGATCACGATTGGCTTTGCGGCTTTGGCAGATTCGACGGGAAGACTGCGACGAAGGACAGCAAACACGGTAGCGTCAGGTCTAATCGAACAACCCTGAACCGCCAAGAGGGCCCCCAAAACCTTTAAAAACCCAAACTGCAATTCCAATCCCTGCAGGACCTGACGATCCTACCCCAACAGCAAGGTGTGGCGGCGGGGGGAGGGGAGGGGAAGGAACCCTAAACCCTAAACCCTCGGGTACTTGGAAGCTGACATCATCTGAACAACGTCGACCTGGTCCGCACCTAAGTCTCAAGGGAACAGGTTTGTGAGCTGAGCTTTGGGATGCTCTGCCTTGTACTAACAGCTCCTTAATAGGGATTCTACTGCCCCCTTGTTGTAAACCCAAGTAAGGACTGCTAGTATGGGGGGGGGGGGGGGACATCCCAAGTTGAACTGCCAAAAAAGTGCTCATCCACAAGTAGAGGAAGGCTGAACTGGCTTGTGTGGCGTAATATTCTCCCTGGCGATCACGTATGCTTTGGTCTTTGAATTTCATGGCTTTGGGCTCCAGCAGACAGTCGACTGAATGCCTCCCCCACGAACCCGCACCCCAAGACACAGGCTTACAACACAAGTCGTTTGGCGATTCCCAGAACAGGGGTACCCCAGCTTATCCCCGACAAAAAAAAACTCTCAGACGCTAATCCTCATTATTGCAAACCCCGAAACGGTCACGGGCGTCGGAACCCCGAACAAACAGCGGTACCCCCATCTTGGGAAACCGCCCTAATCCGCCCTAAGCCCCAAAGCCCTAAGCCCTAAGCCCTAAGCCCTAAACTCTAAACCCTAAGCCCTAATCCCTAAACCCTAAACCCTAGGTAAACCCTAAACCCTAAACCCTAAACCCTAAACCCTAAACCCTCAACACACCCTGCGACGGCACGGGGCCACCCGTTTTTCCCCCAGCAGGATCGGCAGCCCGAAGGGCCCAAAGCACCCGAAGTTGAGAGCAGCTGGCTGGGTTTAGGGTTTAGGGTTTAGGGTTTAGGGTTTAGGGTTTAGGGTTTAGGGTTTAGGGTTTAGGGTTTAGGGTATAGGGTTTAGGGTATAGGTTTCAGGGTCTAGGGTTCAGGGTTTCGGGGTGTGGGATGCTAGGGGGCGGAGGGGTGGAGGGTTTTCTTCTCCTTGTTGGGTTGTCGCTGACCCTCTCAGACCGGATGCTTGAGCCATTGAGGCCACAAGATCCTCCTACAAGTTCACTCTCAGGGAGATCCTTCGGGGGCTGACTCAGGCTTGTTTTTCGGCTCGGGGGCTACAGGACGTGGCACGAGGGCCAAGCCTTTGATTCTTCTAGGTGGGCCCCTAAACCCTAAACCCTAAACTCTAAACCCTAAACCCTAAACCTCGAAGGTCCACTGAGAATTGAGAGCAAATCGAGGGCGTGGGTATGGGACTGATCCTCAAAATCGCCCCCCCAAGGATTTGTACTCTGAAGGGGTCGTTAAACGTGAGGTGCCCATGGGCCCACCACCCCGCTCCCGGCGCCAAAAAACCGAGGCTCAACTGGCCGAGACGAACTTCAACCCACAAGCGGGCCCCCTGAACCCCGAAGCTGCCAAGCAATGCCACAGCTCCATCCGGAGCTCAGGTCTGGAAGGCCTCAGGGAGCTGAGCTAAAGCAAACCACAAAAGGAAATCCAGTTTGCTGATTTTTTGTCTTGAGCCTGAGGCCCGAATCGACCGTAAACCCGCCAAGGCCCGGAAAAGCAAAACCCTAAGAGACCCCCCACCCAATTCAAGCAAGAGGCGCTGTGAACGCTACGAAAAGCTTTGCCCAACCCTGCCCCAGAACCCGTTCTAGCTTCTGCTCGCTCATGTTCACTAACTTTACTCAGCCTTTGGTAGAAGAAAGTTTCTTTGAGTGAACGGCTAAGTCTTTCACAGCTGCGACGGGGCCGAGCTCCTTGGCGCCCAGGCTTCACAGCCGCATGGGTGCCTGAAGCAAGTGTTGCTGCTGTCGCTTCGTTTAAGGCTCATCAGGGTTGGCAGAAGACCTGCAGCTACCAGATCCCAGATCAACCCGGGAGCAATCACGTGGGTTTAGGGTTTAGGGTTTAGGGTTTAGGGTTTAGGGTTTAGGGTTTAGGGTTTAGGGTTTAGGGTTCTGCACCCAAACCCTTAAACCCCCCGCAGAAACGATCACCTGGGCAGATGATTCGATGGCTTTCTCCTCGCAAACGTTGCTTAACTACTTGGCTGCACTTAGGAGGGTAGTATAAAATCAACCTTAGCCCAATAAACCCAAAAAGGCTAAGGATCTAAAGCTACGGTAAAGCCCAAAGAATTGGCGGCGCTTGCCAGCGGAATGCCCTGCATGGACATGCCTATTGCTTTGCAGTCGGTAAGCACTCATGGCCAGGAACTTGGCAGCAGCCCCTAAACCCTAAACCCTGAAATGGACGGCCTCTGCAACAACGTGCAACTCCTTCGGCGCAGGCAACTTCTGTGGTGAGGGTGGCAATATGGCGAGCTCTCTCTAGGTGGTCATGCTGTATACGGACACGTTGCATCCTGGCACTAAGCCCTGGACCAAAGAAAAAAGTTTCAGCCTCGAGGTCTTGAGCCTTGGGGGGGGGGGGGGGGGGTGTTCCCTCCTACTTGAACCCTGTAAGGGTTCAGGGTTCAGGGTTCAGGGTTTAGGGTTTAGGGTTTAGGGTTTAGGGCTCAGGGTTTAGCGTTTAGGGTGTAGGGTTTAGGGCTTAGGGTTTAGGGTTTAGGGTTTAGGGCTTAATTAGGGTTTAGGGTTCAGGGCTCACCAGTGCCCGGCGCCCAGCCCCGAGGCGGAGGTTTCCCGGGAGTCCTCGGCGCCGACTTGCGCCAGCGGCAGCTCCGAGGAGATCTCACGGCCGTTGGGGTCGAAGACCTGGGTGAGGTTATATGTAATTCATAAATTATACTATATGCTATCGTATATTACATTATATTATATATACTATATATTATATTATATATATTATAAATTATAAATTATATATTGTATATTATATATTATATATTATATATTATATATTATATATTATATATAGTTTATACTATATAGTATATATGATATATTATATGTTACATATTATATAGTATATTATACTATATTATATTATATTGTATTAGAAAATTATATTATATTATATTATATTATGTTATATTGTATTGTATTATATTATATTCGTCATATTATACTATATAATTATATTAGATTATATTACATTATATTATATGATCTTATACTATATATTATCGTATCTTATCTTATCTTATCTTATATGAATACTATATATATATATATATACATAGATATATATATGTATATACACTACATTTGAATGATCAAGAATATGGTCGAAGATGTCGGCTCTGTGCTCCGCAAAATCGGGTCTGTTTCTGCACCAATGTCGGTCTCACAGCCCCAGCCCCAGCCCCAGCCCCAGCCCCAGCCCCAGCCCCTGCACAGTATAGGAAGGCCAGGGGAATGTGCGCAGGGCGCCGCATGGTTCGTGAACCATTGAATGAGGGCTGCATTCTTTGGAGAAAGCGAGGGGCGTGGTCGCGACGGTATAGATATCGAAGTCTGCTCATACAGGTCAGTACGGTCCAAGTAGAAGTCACCCCACGGCCCGACTAAAGGCTTGTGGGGGTGGGATCGGTGCTGCGCAGCTTGAAGTTCTTTCAAATACTATCCATATGTACCATAAGAATACGAGAAACATGCTATTCAAGTACTACGATTCCAAAAAACTACTCAAAGCCATAAGAGCCTTGTCAAGCCAGGCAGATGAAACTGAGCATCCAGCTGCCAGGCGCTTTCCCTGCACCATGGACTCTCACGCATCAGCACGCCAGGTCTGCCCTTTACTTGGAGGTTCATGGGTACTTATGAGTAGGGTTATAAGTAGGGCAACCATGGTTCTAACCTAACCCACTTATCAGTACCCATGAACCTCCAAGCAACCTTAAGATAGCCAGAAAAAGGTTGCATTTCGGAAGCCGCCGGTTCTGCGAAAAGTTCCGGGGGCATCCCTCCACTTCTCGGAGCCTGGTTTAGGGTTTAGGGTTTGGGGTTTGGGGTTTAGGGTTTAGGGTTTAGGGTTTAGGGTTCTCAACATGCTCTCAGAGAGATGCCTACGATTCGGCTCGGGATTCCCGGAGGTCGTGGGAGCCCTGGCTTGGTTTAGGGTTTAGGGTTTAGGGTTTAGGGTTTAGGGTTTTGGGTTTAGGGCTTAGGGTTTGGGGTTTAGGGTTTAGGGTGTAGGGTTTAGGGTTTAGGGTTTAGGGTTCAGGGTTCAGGGTTCAGGGTTCAGGGTTCAGGGTTCAGGGTTCAGGGTTCAGGGTTCAGGGTTCAGGGTTCAGGGTTCCGGGTTCCGGGTTCAGGGTCAGGGTTCAGGGTTCAGGGTTTAGTGTCCAGGGTTTAGGGCAGCTTCGACAAAGCCTATTCCCACCCCGTCCTTCCCCCCAAGCACCCATTCCTGAAACCCAAGCCTTTTAGTATGTCATATGTTCTTTGATTATAGTAAGTGCATCATTCTGTGTCTAATACCCTACGATTCCATTGTTCAATCATCGCCCAGCTGTCTTCAAGTCTCTTGCCTGGAGCCACTCCCTCCACGTTGGTGCGAAGCCGGCTGTCCGCAGCACCTTTTCAGGACCGATCTGGAAAACTACCCTGAACACCAAGCGAACCCCAAAGGTTCCCCTGGTACCCCCCTCGAAACAAACCCCCCCCTACTAGGTTCCCCCCATCATTTAAGGTTATTTAGGGATCAGTAAGCCTAATTGGGGATATTTAGGGGGGGAAACCTAGGGGGGTGTAATATAGAGGGGGGTAGTAGGGGGAACCCATGAGAACCCTGCACTACCATCATCTCTACACAAAGGCATATGAACCCTAAGCCTTTTTGGGTTGCATTTGGAACAACTATGTTGGCGAGTACAAAGGTGGGATTACGACGATGGGCTGAAGGGATTCTTACGGTGAAAGCTGGGCGAGTGTGGAGGTTTCAGGGGTGTAGGAGAGTTCGGACTCTTTGCATTGCTTTGGATTTAGGTTTTAGGGCTTAAGATTTCGGGACAGGCTCTAACGCTCTACGCTCCTAAGCTGCAACCCCGAACGCTCAAGCTCGTCCGCAGCAGAGGATTCACGAACCCCCACACCCTAAAGCCCAAAACCCCTAAACCCCAAACCCTGGGGATGTTTCCCCTTCTACTGAATCCTTAGAAGAGATTACCAAACCCCTCAACCCCAAACCCCTCTAAAACCCCAAGCCCTAAACCCTCAACCCTAAACCCCTAAACCCGAAACCCCAAACCCCTAAACCGCGAGCCCCTAAAACCCCACATCCCCCTTCCTCCCCCTTCAAAGGTGCATCCCGCCCCCTATATCCTAAACCCTAAACCCTAAACCCTAAACCCTAAACCCTAAACCCTAACCCCTCAAAGGTGCATCCGGCAGCCTCACCCAGCTTTCGGGCGCCGAGGTGTCGCAGTCGCTCCTGTCGCCCGTGCCTCTCAGAGCTTTGTCCCGGGCTTAGGCTGCAGGGTTCCGGGGGTTTAGGGTTTAGGGTTTAGGGTTTAGGGTTTAGGGTTTAGGGTTTAGGGTTTAGGGTTTAGGGTTTAGGGTTTAGGGTTTAGGGTTTAGGGTTTATAGAGTCTAGGGTTTAGGGGGCCTCAGACCCGGATTCGTGTGCACCCCCGCCCCAGAGAGTAGAGCTTTTCGGGGGCTAAGAAGGGTCATCCCCTGCTCCGCAGGATTACTTATGTGCTGCTTAGCACCTCAATAAAGGTTTAACTTTGATCTCCCTTGAATATGAAATTAAAGGAACCCTAAACTTATGAAGTGATAAAGTTGAAGTAAAGTCCCACCTAGATTAGAGAGAGGAGACTTTGCAAGGGTGGCCAGAACACCTCCTTCTTGGAAATTCAAAAAGCACACAGGCGTCCGAACCTCCGCCCTTAACCCAAGCAAAAATCAGCTGGACACAGAACAGGCAACTCTGAAACAGAAACGCAACCCATGAAATCCAACTAGGTCCAGCACACCGCCTACAAGGCAGTAGGAATGGCAAAGACATGATGAAGGCAAGGCGCATTTCCACCGCAACAGTGACAAGCTCAGACGAAGCCGCGGCGAGCGCGTCCGAGGTCTGGCGCTTTGGTGGTCGATTCGGCGCTCAAGCAAAGAAAACTGCAGGGCATGAACTTAAACGGGACAAACAATGGAAAGCACAGGTGCGGAAAAACCTAGGAAAGGACTCTACTGCAACCACAGCAACTACACGAGCAACTCCCTAAACCCTAAACCCTAAACCCTAAACCCCAAACCCTAAACCCTAAACCCTAAACCCCAAACCCTAAACCCGAGACCCTAAACCAGAAAAGGATCTGACATGGGGCCGAGTCGGCCCCCAGTGTTGCCGACGCCCGACATCCCTGCGTCACTGAACTTGCTTCGGGTCTTGGCGTGCAGTCGATACCCTAAACCCTAAACCCTAAACCCTAAACCCTAAAACTCGAAACTCCCAAGAGATCCCTCGGCCCAAGTCCCATGGGCGGAGCCTTCGGAGCGTTCACCTCAACGGCGGCCAGTGCACGCATCTGGGAAGCACAGTGTGAGGAATGACAAGTCAAAAAGGTGCTACTTCTTTATGGTGTTTAGGGGTTTAGGGGTTTAGGGTTTAGGGTTTAGGGCTTAGGGCTTAGGGTTTAGGGTTTAGGGCTTAGGGCTTAGGGTTTAGGGTTCAGGGCTTAGGGTTTAGGGCTTAGGGCTTGGGGATTGAGATCCTGCAGATATCGGCCCGACGGAGTGCTGACAAAGGCTACTACGGAACAATTCGCTTTAATACAAGTGACAGGTTGCGGCCTCTACTGGTAAGTCACGAGTAGCGACCACGTGGATGGATAGTTTCTTCGAAGACTTTCGCACATGTGACATGGTCGCAAGCGCTGCTAAATGGAGCTCCGACCTGGATGTTCAAAGAATTAGCTTCATCGCCAGGTGGAGGAGGCTGCTAAACGAAAGAAACGCTTTGTGCGGCAACATCTAGTGCTGGATTCCCTCCGAGCAGATCTAATGAAAGCCTCGGCACTGGGCAGCATGAAGCGTGAATGTGAAGTGCTTTCACATTTGCGTCTGACGCAATGGGCACTTGGCCCCTACTCCCATGAAGCGCGGGACCGCCCCGTATAGAGGGGGTTGAAGTGAAGCTCGGCGCAAGACTGTTCTCATGGCAAGGATTCAGGTTTTAGGGTTTTAGGGTTTAGGGTTTAGGGTTTAGGGTTTAGGGTTTAGGGTTTAAAGGCACCAACAACAAAACGCATGGCATGGAACTTGCGCTTCCGAAGCCATGTTCCTCCACGACGCAGACTGGAACTGAACTGGAACTAAAGCTGGAGCACCGGCCAAAGCCCCTGACAGAGGGGGTCCGATATGACCACCGCCCTTGTCAGCGACTTCTCAGCATGCAACTTCATATTATGACAAAGGCGCCGAGTGGGGAAAGCTGTTAGCGGTTCCAGGCCAGAGTGCCTCCGCTATCTATGCTCAGCAAACACTTGGCCACTTGGCTGATGACTGGCATGGCTGTTGAGTGCTACTCGGCTGCTCTACTAGTAGCTACGGTATTTTGCACGTCCTCGTGGCTACGTGTCGATGACCCTTCTGATTGTTCGGAGCTTGCTGAGTTTTGGCTTCCGTGCTCAGCTTTTGGCGATGCCACAGGAAAATCCAGCAGCCGCAGACGTCAACTAGACATGCCCAGTGCAACCTACAGCACGGGAATGCAAAACACAAATTGAGAACAAACGAAGTACGTAGATGAGAGCAGAGCAGAAGGTGAAGAGGTTGCACGGCATCAGAATGACCGAAGTAGGTCAAGTGGAACGATCGGGCCACTGAGGCCCGGAGGCTGCCCTCGCAACATTTCCATCAGGGAACCCACTCTGAGCCAAAATGAGATGATCTTTCTACCTTGCCTGGAACTCCGAGAAAAAATGATCCAGTGACCTCAGGGATCCCTGAACCCTAAACCCTAAACCCTAAACCCTAAACCCTAAACCCTAAATGAACCCTGCCGGATCTGCTGCGCTCTCTTAAGTCGGTTCCGGAGAATCAGGGCCAAGGCACAGAGACACATGGGGGGGGGGGGGATTGAAGACTTGGGAGAGCATCCCGATACCAGTTTAGGGTTTAGGGTTTAGGGTTTAGGGTTTAGGGTTTAGGGTTTAGGGTTTAGGGTTTAGGGTTTAGGGTTTAGGGTTCGTGTAGCGGCGACAACAAGTTCAGCCTTGAGCTAGTCGATGCAGTGCGGGAAACTCATTGTGAAGAAACCACCGACGGCACAGAACAGGCTTTGGGAAGTCCAACTTTTGGCTCCTCTGGGCTACTGCTCAAACAGGCTTGATAAGATCTGGGAGGCTCGATCGCTTCTGCCTTAGTTCATGCCCAAGAAATCGTTTACGCACACTTGGCTACTTGGTGGATGGCGCTGTTGAGTGTTCCTCTGCTCTGCTATTGGCTCTATGCTCTGTGCTGCCCTGTCCTCGGCAGGGTCTCCATCGCAGAGAGCACAACACGTCTGCAACGTATCACTACAGCGAGTGACGCGTCTCAAAATCTGCTGCTCATCCCTACACATCGCAAAGTTGCATCGCATGGCAACACAACAGAACGCATTTTCAGTACTTGGTGCTGCCGGTGAGCCACAACGGCGCGTCCACAGGCCCACCGCCCAACCTGCGATAGAACTCTTGCAAGCAAGCTGGAAACAACTTCAGTGGCCCGGACCCTGGCCGAGACGGCAGACGCTGCTGCCACAAAGCTGCGACCGTGGTACGCAAGTTTGCATGATGGGCTACGAATGCGTAGCGCCGGTTGGTGCCGTCTCGGTTCAAGGGCAGCTCGATGCTGGTTTCGAGCGGCATGCTTGGTGCGCTGAAACGGATGAACCCTTCCAGCTCTGCCCTCGTGCATCGGGCAGGCACACAGTGAATTACCATCTTCGTGGTTTGGCTCCAAAGTGGGTGCAGATAGTGCAACCCTCTGGCACCCCAGAGTTCGTCCATGAGCAGGAGCTCAAGACCCCTCCAAAATCTCGTCTCCGGAACGCTGATGCACGAGAGCTTTCTGTACACATCTGCTGACGCTTGGCCGTCAGGTCGGAGCTGTAAAGATCCCTCGTGGGTCATCACCAAGTGAGACGGTGTCTCGATCTCCTGCGCAGGAGCTTCCGAGCTGAGGGCAAACAGGGTCCTGACAATAATCACAGGCGCCAAAAGCACCTCCCACCCTTACCAGCAACGCCTCCAGCGAATCTGCGGAGTCTGTGGAGGCAACGCTTTCTGCGCAACCTCGTGGTGCGAATGGGGCAGGGTCTGAAAAAAAAACATCCGAGCATGTTGAGAGTTTGCGTTGGAGCGGCTGCTGCCTCTGGAGATCAAGACGGTGACAGAAGCCTCTTGCGGCAAGATGCTCATGGGGCTCGCGCATGTTGCAGATGAGTCGTCCGGCGAATCTGCTGCATCCTTCCCAGACAAAAAGTTCTTTCTGAAACACAGCAAGGGGTCAACAACCTACAACCAAGTGAAGCTTTGATGAGCCAGTGTCTGTGAAGCTACTGCTAGTCGCTTGGATTGTCACCAACTTTCATTCGAGCAATCACCACAAAGCAACTTCACAAAGGTTGCAATGGTTTTTTTTGCGAGATCTGCCTGGCCGTGCAGCTGTACAGGATCAAGCATCGTAGGGTGCAGTACGTACGTCCCTCTACTAACTTTCGGTCATCAGTTTTGGGGTTCGGGTGCTATTCAGGGATGCTTTGCCTCGTGTCGGCTCGCGATTTCTGTCAAACTTGGGAACTGTCTAGCAGAAAGACCGTCAGGGGCGCCTGAATCGAAGGAAAGGCGCTGCAGCTCGTGCTGGCAGTGCCTCGCACGCGCGGTGCTTGGAGCTTAGCGCATGCCAGTGTTCAAGGACTTCCCCCAACTCTGCTGTCCGGCAAGCCGGGAGAAAAGCCAAGGCGAAGATTAGGGATCTATCCTCACATGACAAGGGGCTCCCTAAACCCTAAACCCTAAACCCTAAACCCTAAACCCTATAAACCCTAAACCCTATAAACCCTATAAACCCTAAACCCTATAAACCCTAAACCCTATAAACCCTAAACCCTATAAACCCTAAACCCTATAAACCCTAAACCCTAAACCCCATCCTGAAAAGAAACAACTGAGGCAAGGAGCTCAAGGGCGATGCGAGGTGTGAAGCGTCCAGCTTGAAGTCCGCAGAATCCCACGCCTCCACGTCACAGAGCACCCCTACTGGGCCTACAAGATGAAAGGTTTAGGGTCTAGGGTTTAGGGTTTAGGGTTTAGGGTTTAGGGTTTAGGGTTCAGGGTTCAGGGTTGAGGGTTGAGGGTTGAGGGTTGAGGGTTTAGGGTTTAGGGTTTCATGGAGTTGCCAAACATACTTCGGAGCCCCTGCAGGCCCCAGCAATATCTCGAAATGCACAGAGTCGCACGGCGAAAGCAACGGAGACACGGCCGATGTTAACCTTTTGGTAAAAATCCTTTTAAGCCCTTAAAGCCTTTAAAGTCTGCAAGGCCGGGCCCTTTCAAATTTTAGGACTTTCAAGACTTTAAGCTCTTCATAACATGTAAAATGAATCCGAGAGGCTCTATTTTTCATAAACATTTAGAAAGGGTCCGGGAGGCCCTGGGACCCCGGGTCCTTACAACAAGCCTTTACAAGCCCTAAGCCCTAAGCCCTATAAACCCTAAACCCTAAACCCTAAACCCTAAACCCTAAACCCTGGCTGGGCCCGGTGGGATCTAAAAGGGTTGTTGAAGTTTTCATGGGATCTATGAAACATGAAAGGGTCCGGGAGGCCCTGGGACCCCAGGCCCCGTTTAAGTTGCATTGAATCCCTAAAGACTTTGCAAACTACCCAATCTTGAACATCTGAACGACCCGGCCCTTGAATTTTCCTTCCGGATGTGGAGGTTTTCAAGATGTTACGAAAACTCAAAGGGCCCGGAAGGCCGTGGGACCCCGGGACCCCCTTCAAAATTTTGCTACATCCTAAACGCCCGAAAAACCCTCTGAAGGGCCACGCACTTTAACATTTTAAGGATCACTCTCCGAGGGCCGGGGGCCCTTTTGACTTCGACTCCAAGGATTTCAACTTTTTCTACTGCTTGCTTAAGAACCCCAAAAGAAGAAACAAGAATAACAATCCCTGTATTAACCTTATAAGGAAGGATATGAGTAGTTCAAGAGGTCAAGGAGGTGCCCCCTTTCAAACTCTATCGAGACCTGAAGCCTTAAAAAAAAACCGGGCGGTCTTGTCAATCCCGAAAGGTTTGGACAGATTTACACCACCCTAAACCCTAAACTTCCTACTTCCTACTTCCTAAACCCTAAACCCTAAACCAACCCTAAACCCTAAACCCTAAACCCGTTTTGATGTGTAATTTCAAGGGTCCGGGAGGGCCCCAGACCGCTTTTTTCATGAGACCCTCGGAGAATCCTTGTAACAGCCCTTACACTCTAGACGGCCAGGCCCTTGAAAGGTTGAAGGGTTTAGGGTTTAGGGTTTAGGGTTTAGGGTTTAGGGTTTAGGGTTTTACAGCTTTTCAGGATTTCCTTTGGAAACACCCAAAACCCTTACGATCGAAAAGGCCCCTAAACCCTAAACCCTAAACCTTAAACCCATTTGAATGTTGAGGATGTGAATGTAAAAGGGGCCCCCGAACAACGTCTTCTTGACGTGTTGCAGAGAAAACCACAGAAGTCGCAACAACGGGTTTGCAACAATGGTTGACGTTGGTGTCCTAAATCCACCAAACCCACCCAATCCAGATCACGCTTTGCCAAAGCGGGGCCTTGGGGGAGAAGGACAAAGCAGCCAGAGTCGTCATGACCTCGTCTGCAGTCAATTGAAGAGGTTTGCAGCAATCCGCACGGACAAAAGCTTTCAGGGTGGATGCCTCAGACTTTGCCCGCTTCAAACTGCAGCAGCTGGCCTTCTGACAGCTGCTAGCTCCCCCAACTTTGGGGACCTGTAGATCCTGTAAATGCAAGCGTGGACAGCCTGAGCCTCAAATACTGCGGCACAAAGATCGACACGGTTGCAAGGCCACTTCTGCAAGAGTTTCCAGACCTTGTGCGCGGCAGGGCTACGTACTTCTCAAAGTGTCCGAAGGGCCCGGGGCCGAGAAAGCACCCTAAGCCCTAAACCCTAAACCCGAAACCCTAAACCCAAGAGAAGTCCGGAGCTTAAGTCATGGTGGTGTCACACTGCGGATGGCCCCACTCCGGCTTGCTGACCCCCGAAAGACGGACCTATGCTCCGTTCCTATCAACGTTGAACCCCCTCAACCCTCTAACCCCAGACTCAAAGCCCGCTCCCCCCCCCAAGTATGATATTCTCATCCTGCACCATTGTTGGGTAATGAACATCGATCATTGTTGTTCCTTATTGGGTTTAAGTACTCATAAGCGTGTGAAAAGCCTCTAAAGACCTCTGCAGCTTCGAGCCTGGGGCGGCTCTGCCCCTGCCGTCCAGGCCGGCATGGCCTGAGTTCTTCGGAGACGCATTTATGAGAGCCTTCCTTACTGAATGAACCCAAAAAGGGTTTATGGCGTCCATAGACCTCAATTATAGTAGGTAGTAGGTAGTAGGTAGTAGGTAGTAGGTAGTAGGTAGTAGGTAGTAGGTAGTAGGTAGTAGGTAGTAGGTAGTAGGTAGTAGGTAGTAGGTAGTAGGTAGTAGGTAGTAGGTAGCGGAGCTGCTAGTGGTAGCACAAGCAAATTGGTAGTCATCGTCGTCGCCGTAGTGGTAAAAGGCATATGATCCCATTTCTGGGTTCGCTTGGTCCCCAAGGGAATTCGGCCGAAAAGGAAGTGTAGACGGCATCGGGAGACTAAAGGGATCCGATTTTTTGGTGCACTGAGCTTCCATTGACCAGTCAGTGACTGGTCCAAGATGTGAGGTTTATGAAGGAGGTTCTTCGGATTCGGCACCTGCCCTAGCCGCCGCCGAAAGCCTGCATTTGCCTGCATCTTGGACCAGGGCAGTGTGAGTGATAGACGTTGTGTGTTGCTTCAGTTTCAGGATCCTAAACCCGAAACCAGGGGTTAAAGGGCACCCCAAGCCCGCAGCGTCTGTGGTGTTTCGGGCGTTGTGTCCTAGGAGCTCCGCTTCTGCTGTGCAGAACGGAACACTGCTGACGCCGACGCATGTCCCTGAGCTCATGGGCTTTAACGGTTTAGGGATTGGCATGCTTGCCTAAACTCCCAACCCTACCGAAAGCAGAAGCTAGCCACAAGGTCCATCCTGATACAAGACTCAACGAGCCTAGAAATTGGGGTCATGGACGCGAGCTACTACTACAATCCCGACTAAGATACATGGACGCCACAAACCCTGTTACGGTTCTTGTAGTCCCCAAGCGATTTTCGGGCCGTGGCTCCCGATTTGCACAAACCTCAAACCCCAAACCCACAAGGGTTTAGGATTTAGGGTTCAGGGTTCAGGGTTTAAGGTTCAGGGATCAGGGTTTAGGGTTTAGGGTCCCCAACGCCTCCCTGAAGTCGTCCGGCCTGGTAAACTACGACACACATCCACACGGCAATGACCTGGGGCCAATCAAGTGAGCGTTCCCGGACTCAAGGTGAAGGTGTTGGGTTTAGGGTTTAGGGTTTGGGGTTTAGGGTTTAGGGATTAGGGATGAGGGTTTAGGGTTTAGGGTTTAGGGTTTGGGGTTTAGGGTTTAGGGTTTACTTGCCTTAGGGCCTTCAAGGTCGAGCATGAAGGCTTATGAAGGACTTGGGATGGAGCCAGAAACCTAAAGATCCTCTCGAGGAATTGGCCGCGGCCACACAAGGGACTAAAGCAGGGACCCTTACAAGGGACCTTAGAGGTTTAGGGTTTAGGGTTTAGGGTCTAGGGTTTAGGGTTTAGGGTTTAGGGTTTAGGGTTTAGGGTTTAGGGTTTAGGGTTTAGGGTTTAGGGGCTGCTTGGGTATCTGGGGACTATGTAAGAGGTATAGAAAGGGGTTATATATCGGGGAAGAAGATCAAGGGCCTCTTCTAGGCGTCCCTCCTTGTACCCCTGAACTGTGGCCTCCAGATCCAGGGTGTGGGTGATGGCTCAGTCGCTTGAGGTTTCGAGCTTCCGGATCTGAGCTGCAGCGGTGCGTAGAACGTGGCTTCGCAGATCACACGGACGCTGGAATTTTCTAGGGTTTAGGGTTTAGGGTTTAGGGTATTTAGGGTTTAGGGTTTAGGGTATAGGGTATAGGGTATAGGGTTTAGGGTTTAGGGTTTAGGGTTTAGGGTTTAGGGTTTAGGGTTTAGGGTTTACTCCTCGAGCAACAGAAATCGGATCTTCCAGAGGTTGCAAAGACCCAGCAGCAGACTCCTACTGCAAAGGCCCCCCCCATCAACAAACTCAATCGGAGCCCCTCCCTAAATCCTATGAACCCAGCCCCATAACCCCCATAAGCCCTGTAAGCCCTCTAAGCCCTCTAGAAGCTCTAAACCCTAACCCGAAACCCTAGAGTCTACAAGCGCCATAAGACACCGGAGCCCCCAAGCCACCCCCCAACCCGCTTTGTCTGGGGCTCCTGTCCGCGCCGATTCCAAACTGGCAGAGCCGCCGCGCCGCACGCCGAACGCGTGAGAGCTGCTGCCACCTACCAGCGACGGTTTAGGGCTTGGGGTGTAAAAACTTACCCTAAACCCTAGACCCTAAACCCTAAACCCTAAAACCGAAACCCCAAACCCTAAACCCTGAACCCTAAACCCTAAACCGGAACTCTTCTGAATAACATTCTGATATCCGGAATCCAGAGCATACATGGTTGTAGGCTACTACCCTAAGACCCCATTCTGGGATTCTGAGGCAGCCCCTGCAGAATACACATTTTACGGTGGTTTTCCCCTTGAGTTCTATATTGTGATAAACACAAAGAGACATAAGTTCTAAGCCAAAGAGGATCGGAATGGATGGCCACCAAAGTATTGCTTGATCTGTTGGTGGGTCCCACGGGGTTGAGTCCTGCGTATTATAGCGGCCTTCATCATTAGAATCGGGTCTTGAGGGCTATGATCGTGCATTTATGTAGGCCATAAAGGGCATACCATTCGTAATTATTCCGACCCCCTTGCTTTCCTACTATTTGCTTAAGAACCCCCCCCCAAAAAAAAAAAAATGAATAATAATAATAATAACCCCTATGCTATTACCCTTATAAGGAAGAATATGCCTTTGTTGGGGGGGGGGGGGTGGTTCTTAAGCAATTCGTAGTTTCCCTAGCCACGAGTTCCGCTCACACTGCGCCTGAGACTGAGACGGTCGTGGTTCGGCACAGCAGAGTCAATCGAGAGATTGGTGGAGGCCCTGGCCGTGTTTTCTGCTGCTTTCTGCGCCATGTCGGCAAGGGAGCAACACTGAGCCATAGCTCGGATGGTATGAAAATGAACATTTTTTATCCCTGGTTGGGTTTTAGTATCCATAAATTCGTAACATGACCTTCAACAATGACCCAGAAAAGAGACTTCAGGGTTGCTAGGGGCCCTCTGTGGGGCGACGTGTTTTGGGCTCGCGGCCTTTCTGGGTTGATCTGAGGTTTAGGGCCTTCCAGTTCTATAGAGTTGCTGTGATGTTGTTCGATGGCCTGTGGCTTTGGGTTCATTGACTTGTTCGGCCAGCACCTCACAGAGCACTGGACCCAAATAGTGGGATACCCCAAAAAGGTAACCCTAACTTCGGAAACCCCCATGCGACAAGCTGCATTCACGGGACACCCACACTTAAAACAAGATGTTACGACAGGAAGCTGCCGAGAAATTGTGTTGTAGCGAGGGGCATTCGAATTGGGTCCACCACCCGTTCGCTTGGAGGCCGTGGTGAGGAACAAACACCGTGAAGCCACCATAATCTCTGCCCGAGATCTCATAAACCCGGGGCAGAACTGATTTCTTCGACTAGCAGCAGCAAAACAACTGGTAAGCTAGTCACACGCCGACGAACCGCAGGTGGCTACGACGCCAACCATGCATTTCAAAGCCTTGCAAGCAAGGCGTCCGTACACCCTAAACCCAAAACCCCAAACCCTAAACTCTAAACCCTATAAACCCTAACCCTGAACCCTAAACCCAAACTCCAAGCACTACATCCTGAACCCCCATGCCTCTCGAAGCTTGCCGAGACGGCGCTAGCTCCGCCATCTGAGGGTTGGGAACTGGCTTGGAAAGGGGCGTAAGCTGTCGGGCTGCACTGGTATCAACGAGGTTACTATACTCCCCTTAGAACCTTAATAAAAAAAATGTTTGGTACCCTCTTGGGTTTTATATGAACAAAAAATAAATAAATATATATATATATAAACCCAAGGGGGATATAGGTTAAGACTTCACATGTAGGCCAAGGCATGGCTCGGCTCACTTGTACCTCAAGAGCCCTAAAGCCCACATTTTTGGTAGGTTGCTCACTAGTCACTAGTCCTCGCGTCTTCGGCCAAAAACTCCCAATCCCCCGCTACGGATACAAATTGGGCAACCTACCAAAAAAAGTAGATGCGGGCTCTTGAGGTATTCTTGCTTCAGCTGTGCTATGCTGTGCTGCTTTCTTGCCGTCTGCTCTCGGCTGTTCTCTCCGGTTGCCTACTCTCAGAAGATTCCCCTCTGCCAGGGTCTACAAAAGCCCACGGACATGAGACTTCCCTAAACCCTAAACCCTAAACCCTAAACCCTAAACCCTAAACCCTAAACCCTAAACCTAAAAAAATTGAAACGCCCACCCCAGCCACTCCACGAAGCGGGCGCCCAAGCCGGAAACCACCCCTTCGCCCAGCCCGAGGGCCCTCTCAGCCACCTAAAGCCTAAAAACCTGCAAACCCTCTCAACCCTACAGACCCTAAAGGTTTAGGGTTTAGGGTTTAGGGTTTAGGGTTTAGGGTTTAGGGTTTAGGGTTTAGGGTTTAGGGTTTAGGGTTTAGGGTTTAGGGTTTAGGGTTTAGGGTTTAGGGTTTAGGGTTTAAACCCTGCAAAACCCTAAACCAAACCCCAATCCAAGCCCCTCCAAAGGTCATCAAAGCGCCTGTCCGAGACATGATGGACCGGAGCGCGTCCGTCGCATTCCAGACGAACCTGCAAAGATTCGAAACTCTAGGGTCTCCAGGCTTTAGGTGGATACTTGAGTTCTTGAGGCTCTTGCCTCATATGAAGTAGGGTATATATATCAAAAGGACACCAAATATCTACACTCACCAATACTATAAAGGAACCTTAGAAACACACTCACCAGTAACAGAAATATAAACCCCGCCTCATATGTTTCGTTTTCCGGGGCTCGCAGAGGCTGCGGATCTTGCAGCTTGAGCTCGTGAAGATGTTTAGGGTTTGGGGTTTAGGGTTTAGGGTTTGGGGTTTAGGGTTTAGGGTTTAGGGTTTAGGGTTTAGGGTTTAGGGTTTGGGGTTTAGGGTTTGGGGTTTGGGGTTTAGGGTTTAGGGTTTAGGGTTTAGGGTTTAGGGTTTAGGGTTTAGGGTTTAGGGGTGGGAGGTTGGTGTCACCCTACATAAGCCAGAAGCAAGCTCCACCAAGACGCCGAGAAACACCTGCAAAGTGTTAGTGCCAGGCATCCTTCCCAAGCTCTGCAAGCCTTCCCGAATCTCCCCCTCCCAAAACACCCCCCCCCCCCCGATGGCCGAACTTCATCTAAACAA